AATTAAAGTGACCACAGTGTCAAATATCAAGTCATGATCTAAATAACATATTCACACTACCCAGGTAATGTCAGCACCTGAGTACGGAGAACTCAGTTCCCCAACATACGCCATTACAAAGTGATAGAAAAACGCAAATACCCTCTTTTCTATGCATGAGTAGGCTACAGGTTCGTTAGGTGGCGTTTCTGCTTAAGTTAGCACTGTGTATTTTAAACCTTGTGGCAAATGAAGAGATCCGGGGCTGCCCACACAGGCTTAGGAAAAGCTAAGAATGTATAAATTCGTGACTATTGATACCTGGTTGATGGGGTTCTGGGAGTTGTTCTACTCCCCAAGCCCGGCCCGAGGCCAGGCTATCACAATAGATACTTTCTAAACAGGAGGATGGGTTGCTCTCTCTCTCTCTCTCTCTCTCTCTGTCTCTCTCTCTGTCTCTCTCTCTCTCTCTCTCTGTCTCTCTCTCTCTGTCTCTCTCTCTGTCTCTCTCTCTCTCTCTCTCTCTCTCTCTCTCTCTCTCTCTCTCTCTCTCTCTCTCTCTCTCTCTCTGTCTCTCTCTGTCTCTCTCTGTCTCTCTCTCTCTCTCTCTTTCTCTCTCTCTCTCTTACACACACACACACCAGGGTGAAGTTTCTATCTAATTCAACACAGAACTAAGCTGGAGAAACTGCAGAGGTATTCAATGCTACCGGTCAAGTCCCAGAACTAAGAGGCAAGATTTACGAGGAAAGATTGTTAAAGTTGTTAAACCACGTCACATTAAGGAGAGAAACAGAGGAGATATGATCACATACAAAATTCGTAGGGGAATTGACTAGGTAGACTATTTAACACGGATAGTACACAAACAAGGGGGACAAAGATTACAACTATCCAAATTAACCACACACACATTAAAAAATGAATTGGTGGAGGCAGGACTCCACTTACAGCTACAAATATAGCTATGACAAGAGGCGGAACCCAAGAGGCGTAGTTCAACACACCCGTCACTCCATTGCACCAGCCTCGTCACCGCTCTCCAGCGAGATGGGCTTCACAACCCGTCCACCAGCACAATACAACAGGAAGTGCTTTGCACAATGAAACAATGAACAAATGCCTGGATTGTGCCACTAGAAGCCACCGGCGCTAAAACGTTTGTGGCACATTACTGTGAATGATAGTGCTGATAACATTACTGTGAATGATAATGATGACATTACTGTGAACGATACGGCTGATGACATTCCTGTGAATGATACGGCTGATAACATTACTGTGAACGAGAGAGTGTGGGGGAGAGAGCGAGTGTAATATTAGGAGAGTGAGGGACAAAGAAGTGTAGCCTAAGACCAATGAGAATCAAAAACTACATCACTTTAGCGACTGTAAATACGTCAGAAAACGCGGGCTCACAACAAAATTTGGCGGGAATGTGGCGGCCATTGAGACTGTATTATTAATTACGAGTACCAAGGCCAAACCTGGCGCGTACACACCTGGCCGACACACCTGTAGCTGGTGGACTCTCTTTCTCTTCCCCTGCGTTCTCTGGAGCGTTTACAACGTCACTAAATTGATGTGCTAAATTGCCCGAGCCTAGCCTAGCCGAAGACCCACACAGATGGAACTTCGTGTCAATTTTTGCAAGCCGCTTTGATTTTTTGGTTTTAAGACCTGTATTTATTACGTCAAAATGCAATGTACTATTAGAGAGGATGGGTTGCACCAATCCCCTTCACACCCTGTGATTTCTGTACCCAATCCTCCAGCCAACGGCCACCAATCCTCCCATCAACTGTGTAACTAATCCTCATGCCAACTGTAACCAAACCCCCCGCTAATTCTGTCGCTAACTTTTGCGCTTACCAAAACAGTTGGAAACCCTGAAGCTATCATCAGCTCTTGTCTACCTCCTCTAACGTTCTACTATTTACAATAGCCTAAGTCCTATTGTAAATCGCATTGGTGTTGTCTTAGCATCCTTATGGACCCTTGATGTCTAGCGTCCTTGGCTTCCTAGTGTCAATATCGTCCGGCGTCCTCAGCATGACTCTAAGCACAACACTCTCACACACTCATTATCTCAGTAACCAGGTGTAACAATACTGCGGGGGTTGAGCTCTGGCTCTTTGGTCCCGCCTCTCAACTGTCAATCAACTGGTGTACAGGTTCCTGAGCCTATTGGGTTCTGTCATATCTACACTTGAAACTGTGTATGGAGTCAGCCCTGTACCTTGTTCAGTCTCATCTGTATCTTGTTCTATCTCACCTGTAACTTGTACTGTCATCTGAACCTTGTAATCATGTTCTGTTCAGGTATTCACATTCACTAGGCTAATTCTTACGTGACAAAGGGTATTCATTCAGCATAAACTTCAGTGATAGCATTAGGCCTAAAGTAGTAACATTCACTTAGTAATATTACAGTTTTAATATTCACCTTCAGAGACTAACCCATCCTGTGATAATATCACACTCAGTAAGCCTAATTGAGAACATTCACATCCAATAGGCCTAGTCTAATTTCATCTTTCTAGTAATGGCATACTTTGGAAGACTAATTATATGTATTTTTTTTCAGGGATATTCCTGCACGGGCCCTAAGCCTCTGGCTGGCCCACTGGGCGGGCCCTAAGCCTCTGGCTGGCCCACTGGGCGGGCCCTAAGCCTCTGGCTGGCCCACTAAGTGTTGCTTGTTTCTGTTTTACTTGGGCATTCACACACTCAATGTCTCAGTGACAACTGACCCGTGAATCAACTGGTTTTTCATAGACAAATCATCACTGAAAATAGCAAAGTACACCCAAATGAATTTTAAAATTACAAAAGCCTAAGAAACTAAGAATAGTTTTAGCTCCATCTATTAATTCCAGAACCTAGTAGCTACAAAATGGCAACTTGGCTTTGTCATACACTAGTCAAACATTGTTGTCTCACTAGATGACAAAGATTTTCTTCACTTGTATTTATCATGGCAATTTAGGCTAAATAACTTTAGGAATATCATTAACAACTTCGTTATTTTCTTTTACATTTTGAGCAGGTTGTAATTATTAACACAAGATAAATATACCAGCAGGCTCCCGACATATAATATCCACAAATATTAGTTAAAAAAAAAATGTAAACTCATTGACAGAGGATTTTAAGACGTCACTTAAGACGAGGAAAAGTTCCACAAGAGCGCTTAGTGGCTACCTATCTTGAGGCTACTGGCAAATGTCATACTGATTACCGATAATAAGAATATTAAGTCTTTTTCCCTATAGTCTAAATAATCAGCTTCAGCTCGGTAATAAACTGGAATTAATTACTCAAAACAAAATAGGCTAGTTTAAAATTTAGTCATCATCTAATTAAAATTTCTATCATTATTTTCCGTGATCATTAATGTTAAGCAAATTATTTACTTATTTCTCTTAAGATATGAATATTTGTATCAGTCTGGGTTTAAAAACTGGTTATCTGGAAGGCAAACAAAGTGAAGGCCTTATCATAAACCTTAATATAATTAGAAACAAGTGGTGCGCAACGGCTTAGAGCATTGGCGCACTTTTGTTCTGTTCATTGCCGCCAATTGGATTGGTCATTCCCGCCAATTGGATTGGTCATTCCCGCCAATTGGATTGGTCATTCCCGCCAATTGGATTGGTCATTCCCGCCAATTGGATTGGTCATTCCCGCCAATTGGATTGGTCATTCCCGCCAATTGGATTGGTCATTCCCGCCAATTGGATTGATCATTCCCGCCAATTGGATTGATCATTCCCGCCAATTGGATTGATCATTCCCGCCAATTGGATTGATCATTCCCGCCAATTGGATTGGTAGATAGAACGACGGGCTCCTTTTTTCGCGGGACCGGCTTTCTGACCTCCCTATGGTCCAAGGGATTGGGCACCATTCCATCACTTTCTCCCCATAACGGAAATGCTTTCTATGTAGTCATGTTAGCTTAACGCTTTCTCCTCGTAATTACTTCACCCCTGTTCTTAATGCCATCGATAGTGAGTTATATAGTAGGTATAACGCCACAAGTCAGCTATAATGTAGTTATAAATATTTGAAATGTAAATGGTAAGGCAGATTACTGGATGAACACTAGAGAGCTAGGTCTAATGAAAGTTACTGGAGAAAGGTACCGTGTACTAAGGCTGCAAAAAATGGGACAACAAAAAATTAGGCTTCTTTGGAAATGCTATACTGAAGGTGGAGTCATTTTCTATGATTCAAAGTTTACACTTCAAGCACTTGAAAACTTCTCTTGCAAGACACCCAAAAACCTCATAGCGCAGTCATTATAGTTAATAACCTGAGCGACGCACAGAATAAAGAGTTAAGAATATATTTTGTGAGGATTCCATTTTATATAAATGTTACATATCATGATGACTTAGACAAAGCAGCCATTTAGCATGCAACAAGAATGAAGTTGAAGTAGATCTAGACATCCCCATCTCTGTTATTCAGACAATATTGCTCCAAACATTCAGATTTAATGGGAGAGAAATCACAAACTCTCAAAGGCCTAAAAGCCCCAAATGTTAAAATTGTGCTTTGTTTAGATCTAAAAACCTATGTATATAGGCAGCACAAAATGTCCACCCGTCAGTGACCTACTAGTTGACAGGATCAGGTTGGGCTACCGTTACTTTAGGCAGCTTGC